CGTCTTGCTAGCTAGCTAAATAGCATTACTCACCATCATGTTTAACTGTTGACACCGTTGGTTTAGGGGAGTCAAGATTACCCAGTCTTTGCTTTTTGTATCTCTTCGACTGTGTGCTGACCGTGGAAGCCGCAGAGGCACGTACATTTTCTTCTGCTCCATCCATGGCACTGACGAGCACCTTCAGCATCTGTCCACTATGTGGTGCCAGAGCCCTGTGTGGTGCGTTTAGCTTCACGCTCCGAGAAGTACGGTGTGCTGTCTTGTGTTTTCTCAACATATAATTTACATATCTTCTAATCTCTTTTTCACTCTTTCTCAATGCATTTCACTTTTTTTCTTTCTTTTCTTCTTTTTCTCCAGAAAAAAAAAATACATAATAATGGTGTGGAAAGGATGGCTAAAGGGGGAGAAGTGAGGCCATCACTAAAAAAAGAAAAAGAGAATGTATCTTTGATAAGTTAAGGCGACCTGAGGTGGCCTAAATTCAGTTCTAAGTGGAAAAGAGTTTTTGTCCCTTTAAAGGCCCATCAGAGGTCTGAGGTCCAAGAGTTTCCTTGATTATTTCACTCGAGGTGACCCCTACACCCCCTTAACATTTCTGTCTGCTCCCTCAAATATGCATTCCTAGAACTGACCCTGTTGTATATTTGGAATTTTGAAAACTATTTATGATGAATTGCACAGATACAATAATCATCTGTTAATAATGTGCAGTCTTGTAATTCTGAGGCTGCAGGTTGAAGTTTAGCTTCTATCAGGAAGAGCTTCCAGCATCCAACAGTTGCAAAAATCTTCTGTGTAACATTTCCTACTGCTGAAGAAGGAAGCAGCTGAAATAATTGTTTTTCTGATCAGTGTTATTTGTATTGTATTTGTTTAGACCAAAATAAACTTGCCCACAATGACCAAGGACTACATCATTAAAATCAAATGAGAGAAAGGAGCACGTTGTGTTCTAGTTTCAAATTAAAAATACAATCAATTGCTTGTCTGAATTCTTTCTCAGGGTAAAAGC